AATGCACGATCTTGTTACATAAAAGATTCGAACGTTATGTTGTAAACTTGATGCCAGAAAGAGTGGAGGAACTAAACAAATTAAGTATAGCGCATCAAAAATTCCTATCTTTTTCTCACAAGAATTACAACACCTTCCACCGCAGCACTGAATGGTAGTACCACTCCTTCCAATATGCTGTGCGGTAATTAAGAACACTAGCGGAGATATCACTCAAGTTTTTTTTCTCCATCACCATTTATTGTAACTTATTTTCAGAAGATAAAGGGACAACAATGCCAGAAGAATCACAATGTTATAGTGGTGAGTATAAGAACCCCTACATGGGTGTGGTTCGCTAGGACAGAAAGCGACTTTTTCGCGTTTCGCAGCGCGAAACATTTTTCGCTGCGGGAACTCAGGTCCACTCATGATCAGCGGTGGACCTGAGGTTCCCGCAGCGAAAAATGTTTCGCGCTGCGAAACGCGAAAAAGTCGCTTTCTGTCCTAGCAAACCACACCCGACTACGTTGCCAAAGCAGTAATTGCATCGAACTGATAATTGCAGGTAGGAAATAGCGAAATGGGCAAATTGTTTTCACCTGGAAGTTTCTTTAGTATAGAAACAGTCGATAAAGCTCGCACTCAAATTGTCATCTATGTGGACGAATTCATTGAAAAGGAACTCAAAGTATGTGTCATTAAAAACCTTAACATCATGCAAGTTTTTTTAATGTGTTTATACAGGAAGTAGTTATATCGGTTGAACGTTCCCTTCTTGGCGAATCTCTTTCAAAGACGTTTACCTCAACAGGCGGTGTGTCAGTTTTAGCTGAAAAGAAGAAGATTGAAGAGGTTATTCCTGCTTCTTATTCCGAAATCTGAAGCTTTAGTTGGCGTTTCGTTTCTTAATTTAGTTGTGTGTAGCTTCACGGACAGGGTCATGGTTTAGCTTGAGCTTGAGCTACTTGATAGTAATGTGATTCAGGTCACCTTGGATAATATTCAACTAACTTTCAAAGAGTTGTACATGAGCCGAGCAGATATGTGGCGCTATAGATCCAGACTGATAAACACTTGTGCCTATCTTGACAAACAGGTATTCACTAATATTCCATACTATGACTCTCCCATGGTGCGGTTTATTATTACCCTGCTCCATTTTCTGGAACTTTTGATTGCTCTTGATCCGCCGCTTTTCTCAATCCGTTCCCTTTCGATTATTAATTTTTTTTATTAAGCTCCGACACTTCAATATCAGCACCAAAATCTCTGATATGTGGCAAAAGGGTAACGTCGTTCGTAGCGGTTTCGTTTCGTCAGACACTCGCGTAGTGTTTCGTTCAAGTAGTAGTTCAGTAAGTTAACATGTGGGGTTGTACGTATTTTTGGTTTATTAATTTTTAACTAAATAGTTTTTTATTCAGGTTCTTATATACATTCAAATGAGTTCAGAAATGTGGCAGCTGGATCCTCAGGGTGACCTTTATTTTGAAAAATGTGTCAAAGGTAAATTGCTTCAGTAAGCTATTCCAGTATATTTATTAGCCTCTGTGCTTGGTCTATCCTGGCACCGCAGTTAGTTTCGATATTTCAGGGTTTATGGCGGAACTGTTTTCGAAGTGGTATCTGAACTCCTAGCGCCCACTATGTTCTTCGCAAATGTATCCTTGCTCTCGAATTATTTCAGGTGAGCTCTGACAAGAGGTTGAAGAGCTGCTTGCCCCACTGCTCGTGATCATCGGGACGTTATTCAATGTGAATTTACTTCTCTTAGTAAGGGCAAACGTTCTTCAACCAGATTCCGCGTAATTCGCGAATTTTTCTTCTGTCATTGCTGTAATAATTTTAGGACTTCTATTCGCTTTGCGTCCTCAAAATGAACACTATGAAGATTGGAGCCACGTTCTTTCAACGGTATGTTCTTATGATTCAGATCAGCTCAAGTTCAATAAGTCCATCACAAAGGGCCATTTCCTTAAGACTGTATTGTCTTAGCACAGCTGCTGCTCTCCACCTTTTGCATAATTAGCGCGAAAGGGACATATTCGAATGGCTTTGGCCTTGTCTTCCATCTTATTCTGAAATACCACCCTTCACTATTCGCTTTTGGCAATAACAGAACATTGCAGGAGGCGAATAGCAGCGCCAGTGTTCCAATTGTTGATGAGTTTTTTAAACGTTTGTTTTAGATAAAACTATCATTCAACAAATACCAGGACACGATACAAGAAGTGTTGGCCGCCAATTACCCCAGCCTGAAGTACACATTTCTATCTTTCCTTTGTGACGAGGGAATTTTTGCAAAATTTGCGTGTTCAGAGGAAGGTGGGAAATCTCAACAGCCGCTGATGGCAACTTTCTGCAAGTGCTGAATATGAGCATGAACTCGTTCAATGTTTATCATACAGATAGGAGGTTTGAGACAACGGTCAACCAGAAATTCGGACACTTCCTCAGCATTTCCCTTTATAAACAATTTGCGGTGCAATTTTCATGTTCTTTTCAGATCATCTTTGTGACTCCTGGTGGTGGTGTCTTAAATGTGGATCGAGAGATGGTGAACATGACAAAGCAGCGAATCATTGATATGGGCATTTCACTCGATATGGTAATCACTGAGTGGCTCATTGAAACAAATTCACTTACTCATTTGTTCTAGGTGTGTTTGGGAGAGCAACCGTTGCACGCGGTACCACTGTTTGTGTTTCATAATCGCTGGACGTCGTCTCAACCGTTTGAAGACTATTTTATTCCGCATTGGATGAATTACTCTTATTATCGGATGAGCAAACGAAGTGCCATATCGATCAACTTTCGCCCACGTATTAATCTGCCCAATGTGATGTTGGTGAGTATTTCGGAAGCTAGTGTAACCAAAGCAAAGAAGAATTCCTGGCGAACGCTTGTCGTGTTATTGACGGAATAGTGAGAAGAACCTCTGAGTGAATTAATTGAATGAAACCTGCTATGTCAAGATGAGAATGTAAAAATTACATCTTCCAAGTGTAGGATTTCTTACGCCACTAACCAGGAAGGTCTTTCAGGGGGTGCCAAGCTTTTTCCAAAACGGTCTTTTGCATGGGCATATGCGGGAACCACAGAACCATGGTTAATTTTTCCTGAACGGCCCTCTGAATACCAGAAAAGGGGGTCCCTAGTTCGATTCCTCGTGGTGACAAATTTTTGCATTTCGAGTTGACGTTTCAAAATTCGCGCAAAATGGAGTTAGCATGAATAATTAGTACCATATTCATGATTAGGACCGTCAGTAACCCTTACAAATAGACTTTGATTAACACGTTGACGACAACGCGAGTTTTGGCTTTTTTGGCCACGTGGGACCGCGGCGATTTTGCGGGCGCGGCCGCCTCAGGTCGTTCAAGCAGATTTTGAGTGATAAATACATAAATAATGATCAATACAAAACCAGATCAGTAAATTGTAATGAGCACAACCTACCAGGGGTACAGTAGTGGAATTTCGATCGAAAGACATGGAATAACATGAGA